AGTCCAGTGTTTACAATATGCCATAGAATTTTACACACGAGTCATCAAGTTCCGCCTTGCTCCGCCCTCCTCAATTAAGTAGCTAAAAATGACAAAAAATAGAACTGACGTTTGTAAACAACCAATTTCTATTTCTTCCGATTAATATATTGTCCATTCTGTATATTCTAGGATGCCGGAGACGCCAAAAAAGCTAGTAAACAAACATGGTAGAAAACCGAACGAATTGTGTGTGGACGATTTTTGTCGTCTTTGTAAATGTTGTTTTAAACGCAAGTATGGGCAAGTCGCCAAAATTGTTACAATTTCGACTGAAAATATATACAAGGCGACCAAGAGTAGAGGCGCATTCCATAACAGGACACTTGACGATAGTGATGGGCGATACCAGGATTTTTAATTCGATACCGATACCGATACTTTTAAGATCGGTATCGGCCGATACCAAAATAAACACAAAATTTCAATTTTCGATACCGGAAGTGAGTACTTAAATTGCTAGTATCGGCTACTTTCAATACCTGCCGGTCAGCGGAAAAACGTTTTACATTACTGTATGTAACCAAAATAATGCTTAGGGTTGGGCGATATTAAAAAAATCATCTCACGATTATTGTCGAGGAAATTATCACGATATTCGATAATATCGCGATAAATGCTATAAAAACAATGACAAATAAAACAACAAATTAAAGTAATAAGCAGGCTTTTTCTTGTCTAATATTTACTGTTCATAAACTTGAACTGTCTATGCAGTGTCTACTGTGTTTCCGCAGGCACAAATGCCGTGGGCACACAGCGCATACATAGCATGCAATTTCATTGTTCAGCGGATTAATACATAAATATTAGCTTTAATATTGTATTAAATTCATATTTAATTCAGGAAATAGTTTTAATTCTTTTAAAAACTATATTTTCTAGGAATTCAAAGAAGTTTTTAGGATTTTATAAAAGCTATATACACACATGCGAAGCAATATCACGATAGTCATCGAGCATGACGATAATTTCGATATATCGTCGCTCAAGTTTCTACCTTCGTTACAATTATCGTGGTTGAAAATATCGCGATAAATCAAAATATCGAAATATCGCCCAACCCTAATAATGCTATAAGTAAACCAAAAGCCCGAAACTTAATAAATATTTTCTATATATGACTTGGCGCACCACATTTGGAATATTAAGAGTTATTTTAGATAGATAGATAGATAGATAGATAGATAGATAGATAGATAGATAGATAGATAGATAGATAGATAGATAGATAATACTTTAAAAACAACAACATGGCGGCGGATGGTTTAAGGTTACAGGACACCTTTTGTGGCGTTTCGCGGAGAATCGTTACTACGCGCTTATTAAGCGTCCGATTTTTGTCAAATTTTCACCAAATGTTTGCCAGGGCATGCAGAATATAATAAAGTTGTCAAATTGACAAACCAATAAAATAATCCAAGAATTACTCCGGAAAATTAAAAAACTCGGTACCTTCACGTCTTTGAGTTGTTCTCCTGTCGGTTTTAAGATATATTTTCGAAAATAACATTTTTGTAGAGCTAAATAGTTGTTTTAAAAAAACGTGTTCGGCTTTGTTTAGCTTTTTCGCCGTTCGTTTGATATATTGATTTCTTTGATTATTACAATATATTTCAAATTATGTTGACTGAATTGCTCGTAATTCACTAAATATCCAAAATTAAAACAAAGCCGAACACCTTTTTTATGCTGAAGTCATCAGCTATGCGCTGTGCAAATTTTAGAACAATCGGTTACAACGCACAGGAGAACAACTGGCTTGAAAATCAGTAATTACCGCAAAAATAGTCCCGAGAAAATTGAATTTGAATATTACATTTTCAATGTTGTTTATATTGCAGAGAAATGTATTTTATTAAATAACTCCGCGAGTTTTCAACATTTTTCTTTCAAACTTGGTCAGATATTAGAAGTGGTCTAAAGCTTTTATGAAAGCCAATAAAAAAAATTTGGGCCAATTTAACACTCAAAGGTGTCCCGTAACCTTAATTATGGCCTCAACTAAACTTGAAAATTTTAGTCCTGAAACTATTGATATGAACTCCATAAAGTTGTTAAACAATCAAGGTCATCTAGTTTATGATGGGATCCGTCTCAAATGGACAAACGACCTCTGTTCGTTAAGGACTTTTGCCGAAAATGTTGTCGGATTAACGGGTAAATGGACGTCGCCTGGCGGTAAAGCCAAACAGTTTATAAACTTAAGCTCTGATTTTATTATGACTTGGTACCCAGGCAAACAAAACTCTTTGACTTTCAATGGAAAGAAAGGCAAATCTTTCAAGGAATTTCTAGTGAGCGTATTAGACACAAATTGCGTTATTAAGCAAACAAATACGACCTCGGATAGTTTAATCCAAACAACTACAAAAATGTCGGTCGAAGGCGAACATATCGTTGGTAATGGCCGTGTGTTCGAGGACATGGCCCCTTTAACTCACAATTGTTCGTACAATACTCAAGCCAAAGATATGGGGTTTGAATCGATTGCTGACACTTTGTCACTCGAAGAACTTGAGGACTTCATTGATAGCGCATATTATATTGCGAATGTCGCAGCCACGCCGAATTTTGCTCAGACAGCCAGCTTTTCTACACCATTTCAACAACGAGCTGATGATATCCCGACTATAGCCGAGGCACAACTCCTCACATTTAAAGAAACAATAGAATCGCAAATAGAAAAATTGTTGACTAAAGTGTCTGAACAAAATCATATTATTGACACAAATAAACAAGAGCTGTGCCGATTAGGAAACGAGAATTTGAATTTAAAGTCACGCATTACCGACCTAGAGGAGAAAATGATGATTAAAGACTCGGCTTCCATAACTTTTTCAAGTCCCTCAAAGCCATCTTTACAAGATAAGAAGTCCGTTAACAGTCCTGACAATGTAAATCCCCAACACGATGGATTAACTAAAATAAATCACCCATCTGGTGCATTATCAACCCCAGTTAATGTAGATAACCTGCCCGCTGAGGAAAGTTTCCCTACAGTTATCATTGAAATAAAGAACAATGCCCTATTATCCACACAACAATCTAAGACTACAATCAACTCCTTCAAAAAAGATTACTCATTAAGCCTGAACCGCGAGCTTTTTCAGGCTAAGAATGTTTTAAAGTATTTGCCCTTATGCGAAGATCTAAGTATAATCGAAGATGTTTCTGCAAACCCCACTTTTGACGAAAATGAATTAGATCAGCGTGAGCAGGATTTATCCGATGGGTGTCAACATCTCAAGCAACGCGGGAAGCAAGGCATATGTAGGAATTGCGACCGATCCAATGCAAAAACCGTGTTAAGCCTTGATGCCCTTAACCCTGACCAGGTGAATCCCCGACCGAATAGGTCAATCAGCGAGTCAAATCCAAAGCATTCTTCGTTCCTTCATCTTCCAACCCCGAGACCCTCAAGTCTTAGACACGGTCAAGTTACAATCCCCTTAGGGTTTCGAAGGCACCATTGTAGCCGGTATCCTTTTTTAAAACGTTGTCGTGTCATTCCTTCGTATCGGACAGCCCACCGCCACCACTCTCTAGAGTGGTTGGCCCATCTCCACACAGTGGCCTGTTTGACGAGTCAGCAGCAGACAATATGATGAAAATACCTGTTAGAATCACTTCACGTCAGAGACCATCACGTCAGAGACTATCATATCAACTAACCATTAATAATTCTTCTAGTGTTAACAATAACTTGCAAAATAGAAATCTTGTTCGTGTTCTTTTGTCCAACCCTGCCTCTCCAAACGCTTCCGCACTCTCGTGGCCACTCACGTCGAAAACCACTAATGATACGGCCTCAGCCCATTTAACAAAAAAGTCAGATAACAGCCTCAGTACCCTTCCAGGTCTCAAACTGGTCCACCT